GGTCTCCAAATACCGGAAGTGACGAAACCGGAAGTACCGGAAATGATGAAACGGGACCGTTTTTCGGCCTCCAAAGGCTGCGGAGGCTTCCCTCGAGCCTCTGGGAGACTGAAAAAGGCCTCAAACGGGCCGAAAACCAGCTGGGGGGGGGTGCATGCATGCACGGTGCAGGTAAGTTTGCCTGGGGCTCGCATTCCCGCACAAATGGCTCTGTGTGCCACAGGTTTGCCATCACGGTTCTAGAGTCTCAACATCTTTCTTATATCGTGGCAACCAAAACTGGATGCCGTATTCCAAGCGTGGCCTTACCAAGGCATTATAAAGTGGTATTAACACTTCACGTTATCTTGATTCTATCCCTCTGTTAATGCAGCCTAGGACTCCGTTGGCTTTTTCGGCAAGCTGCCGCACATTGCTGGCTCATATTTAAGTGATTGTGCACTGGGACTCCAAAATCCCGCTCACAGTTGCTACTATTGAGCCAAGTACCACCTATATTATGTGCATTTGGTTTTTCTTGCCTAAACGCAGAACCTTACTTTTCTCACTATTGAATTTCATTTTGTGAGATAGGGCCTAGTGTTCAAGTCTGTCAAGATCCCTCTGTACCTTGAGCCTATCTTTTGGACAAACAAGAAAGAAACTCAAGATTTCCCCATCTTGAAGGGGGGAAGGGGAAGCACTGTCAGGTTTCCTGATATTTTCTGTGGTCCCTTCCTGACCTGGCCTGCTTGGAAGGTCTGGCACTGGCTGACTTTATCGACAAATTGTTGGGCAGAAATATCTCATCTGTTTTCCTGCTAGGGCATTCTTTATCCTAAATAAGACAGCTGGTTGACAGCCAACTAACTCAGGGTAGAGAAAATAAGAGTCAAATGACAATAAATATTGTCATTTGACAGTAAATGGTGTCACTCCATTGATTTTGGATCTGGATCTTTGAAACAAAACTCAAAATGTTTCCGTTTTCAGCATCTGATGCCACTGCTCTTTTTGTTCAAGAAATAGCAAGAGATAATAACTGATGTTGTCAGCTTTCAGGAATACACTGGTGTTTAAATAATGCCACTGGCAGCCTTGGAAGGAAATTACAGGAGTGTCAGAACTGAACAGCAACTTGACAAAATGGAATGAAACAGCCAATTCATTATATATTAAGCTGTTCATAGTATAATGAAAGGCTTGATAACATCAGGATGGCTGAAAAACTACATTTTAGTGCCAGCATCTTCCAGAAGGCCTGGTTTGTAATAGGAGTTAGAAAAATCAGAATGGGAATTGGAAATTACCTGGTTGTAAAGCAAAGTGAATATTTATTGCGGTCCATTTATTTGTGGACTTCAACTCCCAGAATTCCCCAGCGAGCATGGCAGCTGGGGGAATTCTGGTAGTTGAAGTCCCCAAGCCTTAAAGTTGCCAAGGTTGGAACCCCTGATCTATAGGCTTAAATAGTGTATCCTTGGTGAGCAAGAGTGGCTTTTTCTGTAAATGAGGAATTTAACAGCATTTACAAAAATATCCACAATAGAAAGGTATTGTTCACCTATGGTTGGAATCTTAAATTATGATAATATTGCCTGTATATTTCAGCACTGTGCAAGCTGAACGTGAGAGATTCAAGATTATTTCACAAAGTGCTCATGACTAAAGTATGGAGTTCTATGTCGGGATCCCCAAACTCTGGGCCACATTTGTAACCGGGCCATGGAAATGGGCGAGAGCACGGATGCATCCCCCACACAAGCAGCGGCAGGCAGGAGCAGCAAGCATACGTGCATGTTGCCCGTGCAAATGGAGTTGTGTGCACGTGCTTGCCAGTCACTCGTGCAAAACCATCCCTTCCCCCACTTCCCCACTGGTTTGCAAGGAAAGGTTGGGGAATTCTGTTCTATACTGTGAAATATCGGGTGGCAATCAAGCTGGATGGCTTTAAAAAGAGACTGGACAAGATTGGAGGAGGCTACAATCTGGGTACACAGATTACAGGACTCACGACCATATTTTATCTGACCTCCTTGAATCGAGGTAATGTGTTACTGAATGGTGGAGGGGATACGAATGAGAGCAGCATTCTTCAAACTTGGCAACATTAAGATGGGTGGACTTCAAAACACAGAATTCTCCAGCCATGCGCCTAGCAAGTCCATACAGTTCAGGAGTGGGATTCTACCGGTTCGGACCGGTTCTAAAGAACTGGTTGTTATGATTCTGCGCAGTTCAGAGCACCGGCAAATCGTGCCCCTGGCTGGCCCTGCCCCTCTCCGCCCACTCTCCCCTCCCCCTCCCCATCAGTCCTTATTGCGCATGCCCGACATGGCTGACTGTGTTCTCCCCCTCCCAGTCACTCCTTAAGGCAGGGGTCCCCAACCACCGGGCCACGGACTGGTACCGGTCCGTGGATCATTTTCTACCGGGCCGCTGGTTTGCTGGGCGCCGCCATCTTGTTTCGACGAGAAAGTGCTTCCGGGTGAGCTTTTCCGGTTGGAAAGCGGCGTTCGGGTCCTGAAGGAATCCTCGCGCCTTAGTTTCATCGAAGGGGGGGCGGCGGCGGCTTCGAACGAAGAGCCGTCCCGATGGCGGAGGAGATTAAGAAAGCACAAAAAAGCACAAAAAAGGTACAAAGGAGGAGTTGAAGGTGGTGGGGAGAAGCGGGGGAGGGCTGGCTGGCCGGTCGCTCGGCTCGCCTTGCCTTGTCATGCATGCTGATGCTGGTACCGGGCCGCGGATCATTTTGTGATGCCGGTACCGGGCTGTGGCACAAAAAAGGTTGGGGGCCACTGCCTTAAGGTATTTCTTTTCCCCCCTCCTGACGAGCAGCTGTTCCTATGATCAGCTGTGCCAAGATCCCCCTAGCTGTCTTACTGCTTTTCCCAGGAAGGCAAAAAATGGAGGAGGAGCGCAGCACACACACACACACACACACACCCCTGCACTTCGCATTTTTCCTTCCTGGGCCCCAAGAAAGCCTTCTAAGAGCAAAACACCCCCCCCCCGAGGCTTCCCTGAGACCCAGAAGGCCCCCAAAACGGAGCTTGGGGGTAGCTGTGTGCCTCCCCAGGCTCCGTTTTTTGCCTTCCTGGGCCCCAGGGAAGCCTTCTGGGAGTAAAAACGCCCTCCAGGAAGCTCCCCTGAGGCCCAGAAGGCCCCCAAAACAGGGGGGGGGGGATGTGCAAAAAAAAAGAGGAAGCTACACCCACCCAGTCACATGGCCACGCCCACCTAGCCACACCCACAGAACTGTTTTTTTTTAAAAATTTGAATCCCACCCCTGATACAGTTAGTCCTTGACTTATAACCATTTGTTTAATGGCGGTTCAAAGTTGCAGCAAGGAAAAAAACAAACAATTTACAACCTGTCCTTGCAATTATGACTGTCGCAACCCCCCCACCCCCATGGTCACCTGATCCCAATTCAAGCCCTTGGCAACCAGCTTGCACTTACAACCGGTTGCAGCCTCCTCCGGCGGTCATGTGATCATGATTTGCAACCTTCCCAACTGGTTCCCTGCAAAATATATCAGTTGGGAAAGCTGGTTTCGTTTATCAACCACATGGTTCATTTAATGAGCATAATGACTTTCTTTATGACCCTAGTAAAATGGAGTAAAATTGGATTGTTGACTTTACGACCTCACTGGCTTAAGGCAGAAATTCCAGTTCCAATTGTGATCATAAGTTGAGACTACCTGTACATCTTAAAGTTGCCAAGTTTGAAAAACACTGAATTAAGAAGTAGTGTTGTGGTGTACAGGTAGTCCTCAACTTACAACAGTTCGTTTAGTGACCATTCAAAGTTGCAACGACCACTGAAAAAAAGTGACTTATGACCGTTTCTCATAGTTATGACCTTTGCAGCATCCCCATGGTCACGTGATTGAAATTCAGGTGTTTGGCAACTGGTTCATATTTATGACGATTGCTGTGTACTAGGGGTCATGTAATCATTATCTTTTGTAGTCTTCTGACAGGCAAAGTCAATGGAGAAGCCAGATTCACTTAACAACTGGCCTACTAACTTAACAACTTCAGTGATTCACTTAACAACTGTGCCAAGACAGGTCGTAAATATGGGGCAAAGCTCACTTAACAAATGCCTCATTTAATAACAGAAATGTTGGGCTCAATTGTGGTCGTAAGTCAAGGACTACCTGTATTTGACCTGCTCACGGTCTTTGGCTGACCGTTGTTAAAAAGAATGCAACCTGTGCAGACATTTGATCTGATTCGGGAGAGATCTTGTGATTTTTTTCCCCCTGGTCTCTCTCTAACAAAAATGTGCAGGAGAAACCTAAAGAGTAAGCAAATATTGAACTACTGGGTCAAAATGACGTGGGAAGCAAGTGAAATCCTGAGAATGCTAATTGAAGGCAATATAATATGTATTGGGGGAACGTTGTGTTAATCAGAATAGAGCTGGAAGGGACTTTGGAGGTCTTCTAGTCCAACCCTCTGCTCAAGCAGGAGATCCTATTTCATTTTAGATAGGTGGCTGTTCAGCCTCTTCTTAAAAACCTCCAGTGATGAAGCCCCTACAACTTCTGGAGGCAAACTGTTCCACTGGTTATTTGTTCTCCCCATTAGGAAGTTTCTCCTTAATTCCAGGTTGCTTCTCTCCTTGATTAGTTTCCATCCATTGTTTCTTCTCCTGCCTTCAGGTGCTCCTTGGAAAATAGGTTGACCTTCTCTTCTTGGGGGCAGCCCCTCAAATACTGGAATACTGCAGTCATGTTCTCCCCTAGTCCTTCTTTTCTTTAGACTGGCCAAACTTCCATAGTTTTCGTGTGCCAAACCTCAGAATGAAAGTCCTATTTGTTCTGATAGGAGCAAATTCGGCAGAGTTTGGGTGTGTACGAAGAGAACACACACACACACACACACACACACACAAAGCAATTTAAAGGAAGGGTTGTTAAGGCACAACTATTTAAACAGCCCCCTCCCACCCTTCCTCTGAAGTTTAATTGCAGCTGCCTTCTTCTTGGGTTACTTTATTTTTTTAGGTCAGGAGTGCTTGCCTAATCTCACTGGGACAGGCAGCCGTAGACAAACAGCTTCTATAATAATCTTCACTTGGATTGCCCCAGCTTCAAGTAACAAGAGCTGCTTTGTTGATTTGTCAAACTACGGAGCGATTTACGAGGGATTCCGCTTTGGAGAAGTGGGTTGAAAAAAATATCTCAAGTAAAAAGCTGCCTTCAAGCAAGGAAGGTATGTATATTTTACTTTATTAAAAAAAACAAAAAACTCTTACGCGTCTTTCATATTTTGTTTCTTCAGCTTGAAGGTGACTGTCTTCTGGGACAGGAAGGAATTATTATTGTATGGTACAGGTAGTCTTCGGCGTACACCCCTATCCAGCCCAAACACTTATCTTGCTAAGCAAGACATTTGTTAAGTGAGTTTTGCCCCATTTTACGACCTTTCCTTTACTTTGTGAAGTAAATAGTGATAGCACTTAGACTTATATACCACTTTATAGTGCTCTAAGCAGTTTACAGGGTCAGCCTATCGCCCCCAGCAATCTGGGCCCTCATTTTACCCACCTCGGAAGGATGGAAGGCTGAGTCAACCTTGAGCCTGGTGGGATTCGAACTGCAAATTGCAGTAGGAGTAGCTTGCAGTACTGCATTCTAACCACTGCACCACCGAGGCTCCTGCAGTTGTTAATTTAGTTATATGGTTGTGAAGTGAATCTGGCTTCCCCATTGACTTTGTTTGTCAGAAGGTCACAAAAGTGGATATCACATTATTTCGGGACACTGCAACCATCGTAAATATGAGTCAGTTGCCAAGTGTCTGAATTTTGATTGTGTGACCGTGGGTGTGCTGCGCTAGTTGTAAGTGTGAAAATTGGTCGTAAGTCACTTTTTTCAATGACATCGTAACTTTGAATGGTCACTAAATGAACTTCTATAAACCTAGGACCTCCTGCATGCATGAAATTATTATTTGAGAAATGTCTTCATATAGTCTACCCTGTTATGGAGTCCACAGTACAGGGGAATTAAATTAAGAGTTTAACAGCCCATAGGCTGGTCTTTCATTTCTGCAGGGCATTCAACTCTCACCCAAATTTAAAAAATTTTTTAAAAAAACAACAACATACACATACAAAACATAAAAACATAAACATAAAACCATCTTCCATTTTATGTACATACAGTCTGTCAGTTGGTTACGTATCTTTTGTGCTATCCTTTTGTAGTCATTTACTCACAATTTATATCTGTCTTCACATTGTCAAACTAACATATGCTTATATATTTATCAGTTATTAATCATCCATGACTAAACTATTTATTCCATCATTTTATACAAGATGTTCCAAGTTTTGTCTTAAAATTTGTGTTATACTTTCAACCAGTGGTTATATATATCTATATAATGTTTTATATCAATCTATTAAATTTCTATCACAAAATTATCTAGTCTATTATGTTACCATGCCTTTTTATCCAACCATTGATAAAACAAATCCCATATCATATAAAATTGCTTGTCTTCTTGTTCTCTAATTTCAAATGTCAGTTTACTCATTTCAGCACAGTCCATAATTTTTTTGATAACTTCCTCCTGCATAGGTATTTTGTCATTTTTCCAGTTCTTCGCAAATACAATTCTAGCCGCTGTTAAAACATTTACAATCAAATATTTCAGTTCTTTATTATATATGTCCGGTATGACTCCCAATAAAAAGATCTCTGGTTTAAAGTCTATATGTTGTTTTATCATTTTTTCCAACCACGTGTGTATTTTAGTCCAATATTTCTTTGCGTCTGAGCATGTCCACCACATATGGTAATATGAACCAGGTATCTGATGACATTTCCAGCATTTATCCGATTTATTCTTAAACATTCTCGCAAGTCTCGTCGGGAGTAGGTGCCACCTGTAAAATATCTTATACAAATTTTCTTTATATGCAGTTGACATTGTCATTTTATAATTCTGAGACCACAATTTTTGCCATTTTTCTAAATCAATCCCATATCCAAAATTCATTTCTTTAACTTGTTCCTCCTCCAATTTAAATTCTAATAGATGTCCATAAAGTTTTTTAATTACCTTTTCATCAGTACCCATCAAAATTTTATCTAAGTCAGTCAACTTATCATAAATACCTTCTGCCTGAGTTTTTATCAAACCTAGATTGTATTTGCAAATATGAAAACCAATTCATTTTTACACCTTGTTCTTCCAACGCTTGCATAGATTTAAGTTCACCCTTTTCATTCAATATCTCCTCATATCTGTTTGTTCCTTTTTATATATGATTGGATAAAAAAAAGCTTCAACAGTTGATATCCATGTTGGAATTTTTAAGTAATATTGTCTTTTTATCTTCTCCCAGTTCAAAAACAATGCCTCACGAATATAATGTCTTCTAAAATACCCCTGTGTTTTAGTTCCTTTATACCAGAGAAAGGCATGCCATCCCAGCAGCAAGTCATGGCCTTCTAAAGTCAATAATCTACTGTTCCTTAGCGTTATCCATTCCTTTACCCACATCAAACTTGTCGCCTGGTAATACAGCTCCCAATTGGGCAAGGCAAACCCTCCTCTTATTCTTGCATCTTGTAACAGTTTTAATTTTATTCTTGCTTTTTTACCCTGCCAAATATATTTCAACACAATTCTATTTAAATCTTCAAAAAACTCTTTCCCTAATCGAATAGGAATTGTCTGGAATAAATATAAAACTCTAGGCAATATATTCATCTTAATTGTAGATATTCTTCCAATCAATGATAGTTGCAATTTTTCCCATTTCATCAAGTCTGTCACAATCTGCTGTTTGAGTTTAACATAGTTATCTTCCTTCAGGGTACTACATCTTGGTGTAATATGAATCCCTAAATATTTAACCTTGTTCGTGACCTGTATTTTTACAGTTTCTTCCAACTCTTTCTTTCGTCTTGTTAACATATTCTTGGTTAATATCTTTGTTTTGTCTTTGTTTATTCTCAAACCTGCTAGTTTTCCATTTTATTTTATTTTATTTTATTTTATTTTTTCTATTAATTTGGGTGCCGTTTCCAATGGGTCTTCTAATATAACTACCAGGTCATCTGCAAAAGCTTACAATTTATACTCCTCCTTTTTAATTTTCATTCCTTTTATTTCTTTTTCTTCTCTGATGTTCCTGTTCAACACTTCCAATGTTAACACAAACAGCAGAGGTGACAATGGACAGCCTTGCCTTGTCCCTTTTCTTATATCTATGGATTCTGTTAATTCTCCATTCACCATCATCTTTGCAGTTTGTTCATGATATATTGTTTCAATGGCTTGGATAAATATCTTACCAAAGCCCATTTGTATCAGTTGCAGTAAAATGAATCGCCAACTCACATTTGCAAATATGAAAACCAATTCATTTTTACACCTTGTTCTTCCAATGCACATTGTCAAAGGCTTTTTGAGCATCTAGAAACATCAAGGCCATTTGCTTCTCAGGGTGTGCTTCATAATATTCCAGAGTATCCAAGATGATTCTCACATTGTCTTTGATTTCTCTCTTTGGCAGAAATCCATTTTGATCAGTATGAATAAAATTATTTAAGTATCTTTTTAGTCTTTCTGCCAAAATTGAAGCGAAAATTTTATGGTCTGAGTTCAATAAAGATATAGGTCTATAATTTTTAACTTGCTGCAGGTCTAACTCTCACCCAAATTTCTCTTCTCCCCTTGGCAGAGATTGATTTAAAGGGCTTTATTTAATAATGGGCACGGGTAAGATTCCCAGTGCCTGATTTAGGAGGAAGACCTGTTGAGGTAAGTGTGTGCAACTAGTCCTCAACATACATATAGTGATTGTTCGAAGTTATGACATAGCAATAGCAATAGCACTTAGACTTATTGTGATGACCCAGGCCGTGACACAAAAATAACAAAGTCACAAAAGTAGAATAAATTCCCTTTAATGCCTCCAACTTGGCCCCAATGTCCAATTATCCTCGGCTGGATATCAGACTCTTCAAAAAACAGTCTACGAAGGGAAAAAATGCAGTCCGAACCCAAAGTAAAGATAATTAGAAATAAAAAACCAACACAAACCACACTGAAGTAATTAACACGGCAGGCCAGGGTGATAAATTGCAGACTTTCAAAGGATAACTTGCAGCAACCACAGTTGGGAGGATGCCAAAACCCAGATAAGCCTTGACCAAGATAATGCACTCTTTGCTTCCAGCAAGGAGCTGTTATGCAAACGCCCCACTTATATCCTGTTCTCCCAGCTGCAACTAATGAAAGGGATCGGGGCCTTTTTCTCTCTTTCTTTTCCATGCGCAGGATGGGTGGGGGGGCCCCAGCACGCATTGCTTCTGGGTGCTGGCACGCACAAACAAGTGCACGAGCACAATTATCGGCACGGGAGCTGAAAAAGGATTGCCACCGCTGACCTAACAGATTCCTACCAGACATTCTCCCTTGCGCTGCCTTAATGGATGAAGGCCTAAAGCAAGGGTCCCCAAACTTGGCAACTTTAAGACTTGTGGACTTCAACTCCCAGAATTCCTCCTCCAGTCATATTAGCTCGGAAATTCTGGGAGTTGAAATCCACAAGTCTTAAAAGTTGCCAAGTTTGGAGACTTCTGACGAAAAGGAACATTTGTAATCTGACAGCTGTCCATTCTAAATCCCTCATAGCCAGAAATAAACTAGAATGAAAAATGGGATACAGAAGGAATGGGACAATTCTCCGGTCAACTTTCTTCTCGCAAAACAAGTTACAGTAGAGAAGTGGATGGTCAAAAAAGAACTACATAACCTGTGGTGTGCTAGGTGGCGTCGATGAATAGGTTTCTATATGTCTTTTTATAAATGGGATGGGGAAATCTCAAAAGTACATGTGTGTCTCCTATTTTGGAAACCGTGTAGAACATGGGTGTCAAACTCAATGAACTCATTTCATTGAGGCTTGTGTTTGACCTGGGGGGGGGGGGTGGGGGGGCATGGCCAGGGAGAGTGGCCAACTCAACGTCACTTGTCGAGGCTCTGTTTTCAGCCGCAACAGCCTCCTGCAGCCCTCTGCCAGCGAAAATGGAGCCTGGCGAGGCCACACCAGGAGTGGTATCCAGCAGGTTCTGACCAGTTCTGGAGAACCGGTAGCGGAAATTTTGAGTAGTTCGGAGAACCAGCAGATACCGCTTCTGACTGGCTCCGCCCCCATCTATTTTCTGCCTCCCATTGAGTCCCAGCTGATCGGCTGGGTCTTCTTTTGTTGCCCTGCACAGGAGAATGGAGCTGGAAAGCAGGTTAGTGGGGTGGGGAGGGAATGGGATTTTGCAGTATCCTTCCCCTGCCACGCCCACCAAGCCACACCCACAGATCCAGTAGTAAAAAATGTTTGAATCCCACCACTGGGCCACACCCAAGCTCCGTTTTTGCTGGCAAAGGCACCACTGTTTCCAGAGTGGCCCCGCAGGCCACATCTAAACGCTCTGAGGGCTGGATTCGGCCTGTGAGCCTTGAATTTGTCACCCCGGCGTAGCACTTAGAAAGTTTTCCTTACATTACAGGTAGTCATCGATTTACAACTGTCTTTTTAGTGACCACACTGCACTGAAAAATGTGACTTATGACTGTTTTTCACTTGTGACCATTGTAGCCTTCCCAGAGTCAGACACTTGGCAACTGACTCATGTTTATGACAGTTGCAGTGTCCCTGGGGTCATTGTGATCCACTTTTGCGACCTCCTGACCAGCAAAACCAATCAGGAAGACTTAACCATGTTCCCAATATAACAGCTGCCGTGATTCACTTAACAACTGTGACATGAAAGGTCATAAAATGGGCCAAAACTCACTCAACAAATGTCTTGCTTAGCAACAGCAATGTTGGGTTCAATTGTGGTCGTAAGTTGAGGACTACCTATATGGTTTTAGTGTATTTTTTTTCTTTTGTTTTTAATTGTTACCACCCAGACATCCATTTGGGTTACTGTGCAAATTTAATAAATTAATATTTGTCAGAGTATATTCATGAACTGGAATAGAGCATGGTAACAAGGTCAGCCAATGAATAGGCATAGCAACTAAGTCAGCCAGTGCGAACTGTTTGGAAACTGAAACTTGAAGTAGCGTAGGCGTGGCTCTATATTAAGCTCTGCAGCTATACTGAGCTCTGAGTCTGTCTATTGAAAATGAAACTGCTTCTCTCCTCTGCTGTGTATAATGCTTGCCACTGAAGTTACTTGCCACATGTTTCTGTCTGAGTTTGCTCCAGGGGTGGGATTCTATCAGTTTGCACCTATTCACTAGAACCGGTTGTTAACATTCTAAGCAGTTCAGAGAACCGGTTATTAGAAAAAAATACTGGCCTAATCCTGTAAGGAAGGCAGGAAGGAAACATTCTGGTGTTGCTTACAGGAACTGCCTCTCCGTTAACCCTTATTACATTTTTTGGCAGGACTAGACTTCCTGTCTCTGGAACGTCTCTGGAGTTTTGTTCCCCTCCTTTGCTGGTACTTTGCTTGTGTGGAGTGACCATACAAAGTTACAATGGCACTGAAAAAAGTGACTTATGACTGTTTTTCACACTTACAACTATTGCAGCATCCCCACAGTCACGAGAGGCCAGGCGAGGAGATGCGTGCCTTGATGAGAGTGATGTTGAGTTGGCCACACCCAGCCAATCACATTAACACCAAGCCACACCCACCAACTAAGCCACGCCCACAGAACCTATTAAAAAAATTTAATCCTACCCCTGGTTTGCTCCATGTTGGAGAAATCTCCAACTTTGTAAAATCTACTTATGTTTATAAAGATGTTAAGTGAAGCATTGGCCATCAGCGTTTATTTTTCCGGCGCTGAATTAACGCAGCAAAACTCTGAATAATATTGTGCTTTTTTTTAAGGGGAAAAAAAAACAGACCAGAGGATTAACAGTGCAAATAAACAGCAGGAAGAGGCAGTTGAAAAATGGAGCAGTTGAAACGGATCAGTCAGATTGATTTTTTTTAAAAATGTCATATTTTGAAAAATGAATTTTATTTCCTTTTATTTCTCTCCTCTCCCTTTTTCTCCTCAGGAGCCTCAGTTCTCTTCCTAGCTAGCTTCTGAGCTTGGTATGGATAATGGTAGAGCGGTGGAAGCTCAGGTAGGCTTAAAACAGAAAGATGCGGAGGTCAGAGTCCGTGGACGTATTCTTCCAGAGGTGAGCAGTTTGTGTCTTGCTGTGTCATAACTGTACTGGCCATGAAGCAAGTCAGTACAGGTAATCCTCAATTTACAACAATTCCATTCGAAGCTACAACGGCACTGAAAAACATGACTTAAAATGTCCTTCACACCTACGGTCATTGCAGCATCCCCGTGAGTGTGTGACCAAGATTCAGATGCTTGGCAATTGACTCGTGTTTATGACGGTGGCGGTGTCCCGAGGTCATGGGATCACCTCCTGCGACCACCTGACAAATAAAGTCAATGGGGAAGCCAGATTCACTTAGCTGTGATGACCCGGGGCATGGCACAAAAGCAACAAAGGCACAAAAGTAGGTAGAGTCCCTTTAATTCCTCCAACTTGGCACCCAATGTCCAATTATCATCGAAAGAAAAAACTCTCCCAAGAACAGTTTTTAAAGGGAAGAAAGTCAGTCCGAACCCAAAGTACATCTAAACTATAAATAAAAATCAACACAAACCATGCTGTAGCAATTAACGAGTCAGGGCAGGATAAGGAATTGCAGACTTCAAAAGATAACGAAACACACACAGTTGGGAGGACACCAGAACTCAGAGAAGACTTGACAAACCAAAATAATTCATGCTTTGCTTCCAGCAAGGAGCTGTGCGCAAACACCTTCTTTATCCTGCTTTCCCAGCTGCAGCTAATGAAGGTAATCAGGGCCTTTTTCTTCCCTGTAACCCACGTTGCTCCCTTATCCGTTCCTCCCTGCGTGCCCTAGGATGAAGAGGGAGTGGGCCTGTGCCTTCCTCTGAATGCCCAAATGTCCGCTGTGCCCTTCCCCAGTTTCCTCCACAGCCACCAGAGCCACACTCCCGCTCCCTGTCAGCTGTTCCACCTCTACCTCAGAGTCAGATTCCAACAGGGGCATGACACTTAGCAATCGGGTTAGTAACTCAACAACTGATGTGATTCCCTTAACAACGGTGAGAAGAAAAGTAGGGTAAAACTCACTTAACAAATGTCTCACTTAGCAAAATAAATTTGGGGCTCAGTTGTGATCGTAAGTTCAAGGATTACTTGTAAAAGTCAAATGAGCAACAAGCTTAAAAGCAGCAGCAAAATAACATTTTTTTTAAAAGTCGGTATTTGCCATTACTGAAAAGGCTTTGGAAATTCAGTGTTGATGTCCAAAGGCACCATTGCAACATGGAAAATGGCTCCTGAACAAAGAGATAGGAGCCAATGCAATGTACAGGTAGCCCTTGACTTACGACCACAATTGAGCCCAAAATTTCAGTTGCTAAGTAATGCATTTGTTAAGTAAGTTTTGCCCCATTTTATTGCCTTTCTTGCCACAGATGTTAAGTGAATCACTGCAGTGGATAAGTTAGTAACACAGTTGTTAAGTGAATCTGGCTTTCCCCATTGATGTTGCTTGTTAGAAGGTTATAAAACGTGAACACTTGTCAGGTTTGGAAGCCATCTTGAGATTCGATGCTCCCACGCTGCCACAAGCCTGAGAAAGTGGGGAGGGGGGATTCAATGGAGTATCTCTTAAGTAGACAAAATGATGTCCTATTGTACCCTATGACTATCATTAAGTGTTGGACTTTATGATTCTTGACAAATGTTATCTTTTCTATTTTGTACACTGACAGCTTATTCACTGAAGACAAATTCCTTGTGTGTCCAATCACACTTGGCCAATAAAGAATTCTACTCTACTCTACTCTACTCTACTCTGCTGTACTCTACTCTATTCTATAAGACTCTTTTGTTAGTTCAAGGTCATTGAGTATGGCGCAGAATGAAATAAGAATCTTACTTTAGGACGGATCGTGATTGGGCCATGTGATGGATGGATTTGGGCCAAAGAGGGGGATAGATTTGTAGTTTTGAATATTGCAAGGAAGCCCAAAACTTTCAGATTTGGGATTCCGCAGATGTGCCAGTTACTATCTAAATAAAGCAGTCTTTAAGAGATGTCTGTCTCGGAGTTATGGGCTGGAAAGGAGGGTTGCTGGAACGTTGACTAACACTGGACCCAGGCACACTGCAACCGTCATAAATATGAACCAGTTACCAAGTATCTAAATTTTTATCATGTGGTCCATAGGGATGCTTCACTGGTCCTAAGTACAAAAAAAAAAAAAAAACAGTCATAAGTGGCTTTTTTCAGTGCCATTGTAACTTTGAATGGTCATTAAATGAACTGTTGTAAGTTGAGGACTACCTGTATGTCATCATCTCTTGTTCCTCTCTTGTGGTTTGAATCCTGGGAGTACAACTTTCAGTGTCCGACTCTTACTCTATATCAGGGATCTCCAACCTTGGCAACTAAGATTTGTGGATTTCAACTCCTAGAATTCCCCAGCCAACATGGCTGACTAAGGAATTCTGGGAGTTGAAGTCCAGAAGCCTTAAAGTTGCCAAGGTTGGAGACCCCTGGCCTACATGAGTCTCTGAGTTTGATCTGTTTTTTGTTTTGTTTTGTGCATCCCAAATGCCGCTGAAGACCCAGACTCAGGTCAGTTGAAGACTTGCTGCATTCATGTCACATGCAGAGCTTGTTTGGGTTATACCCTTGATTAGGCATTTTGTGACTTAGCATGCTAAGCAAACCCTGCCTGTGTCATTGTAATTCATTAATCCAGTGGAAAGTCTTTGTGTAAACGATTAAGTATTCCTGCTAGAAAATATTGTGCAAAGTTCTGCTACCAGCTTAAAAGTAAAGAAAACTTATCACTGACTTCCACTAAAAAAGAACATGTCTGCCATTGCTTACGAGAGAGAAAGCCCTTGCTGCTATTTTTCTGTTGCATGATTCAGTCTCTTAACATGTTCTGATTTTTCGGTTCCAGAGTGCTGAAGAGAAAAAAAGTGTGATCAACTCCCTGGTGTCTGGGGCATTGGCTGGTGCTGTGGCCAAAACAGCCGTGGCACCATTGGACAGGACGAAAATAATTTTCCAAGGTACACATGAGATTAAGGGGGATCTTCAAAACTTTCTCAGTTATGGGAGTAATTCTAGTTTCCTCTGAATCAGTGTTTTTCAAATTCGACAATGTTAAGATGTGTGGACTTCCACTCCCAGAATCCTTGGCGGTAGCCTGGTGGTTGAGGAATTCTGGGATTTGAAATCTGTAGATCTGCATGGTCCCCAAATTTGAACAAACAACTGCGTTTATTCCTGGTTTGTCATTGCTCTAACCAGCTTGGAAGCCAGATTTGACTGCTGCCTTTAGGGATTTGAAGAATGTCCTCTTAAGACTAAATATTCTCACTTCCTTCTCACTCTATTTGCAGGACTTGGTTTTTGATCTCTTCTATCCTCTCAATCTGTTCTATTGTCTGACTCCTCCTTAAAATATGGAAACCAGGGTTGGACCTACTGTTTGAGGTGGGATTCTGATTAATGTAGAATAGAGACAAATTTGAGTTCCTCCTGTCAACATTCATAAACTCCCAGAATTCCCAAGCTAACATGACTGGAGGAGGAATTCTGGGAGTTGAAGTCCACAAGTCTTAAAGCTGTCAAGTTTGAAGACCCCTGCTGCAGGCTAATGTGGACCTGTTGAGGCATTAGATGCCAATTCACAAAGGCAGCCAAGATGGTTCTCTTCCTTGATTGGGGTGTTCCAAACCAAATGCAAAATATGCTGATTTGTGGCATGGATTAGTCTGCCCATAGATTTCCTAGTTGCAGTGCTGATGTGTGTATGACTTATTCTTTTTGTTCTGTTTTCAGTGTCGTCGAATAGATTTTCTGCTAAGGTAAGGTGAAACATCCTTCTCTTTTCTAAGCTTCATTGCAGATTGACCAGTTGGGAAGGATTAAATCTCACTGAATTGCTTCCATGGGTGGCTGGCTCTCAGCTTAAAACCCCTCTCCTCTGCCCCTCCTTCTAGCCTCTTAAGAGACAATGGAAATTAGTCAAAACAGTGCTACTTTAAAATGGTAGGCACGTGTACGTGCCGTGGTGGTGCAGTGGTGAGAATGCAGTCTTGCAGGCTACTTCTGCTGACCTGCTGATTGCCCGTAGTCAGTTCAAGTCTGACCAGCTCAAGGTTGACTCAGCCTTCTGTCCTTCCAAGGTGGGTCAAATGAGGACCCAGATTGTTGGGGGCAATAGGCTGACTCTGTAAACTGCTTAGAGAGGGCTGTAAAGCACTGTGAAGCTGTATATAAGTCTAAGTGCTACTGCTATTGCTAAGAAAAGGATTAGGGGGAGAAAAGCCATGGTGGCGCAGTGGTTAGAATGCAGGCAAATCCTGCCGACTGCCAACAGTTCGATTCTCACCGGCTGAAGGTTGACTCAGCCAGGGCTGCAGTAGAAGATAAGTATTAGAGCTGAAAATGGGTGGCTTTTTAAACGCTGCGCGCGCTCACTAAACCACTTGTTGCACCGGTTGAGTCTCACCACTGGTCACACCTAATGCAGCTCCTCCTCTGTCTAGGAGGCCTACCGGCTGATCTATCGTACCTACCTCAGTGAAGGCTTCTTCAGCCTATGGCGAGGCAATTCGGCCACCATGGTTCGGGTAATCCCTTACGCTGCCATCCAGTTCTGCGCACACGAGGAATATAAGCAGCTTTTGGGCAGCTACTATGGCTTCCAGGGAAAGTAAGTTGCTGTGGAGCCTCAGTCTCCCGAAAGGCCTTGGCCCGAGCATGTGGGGAAGACGTTGTCGGGGGCAAGAATTCAGGAACCAGGATAGAATTCAAAAGAGTTCAGGTTTACTCCATGTTACCCATACACAAGAATCTGAACTACTCACAGGCAGGGCAAATTTGTGCCAGATAACCATCATCAGACTTCAAAGGGGGCTGGACTTAGGTCTTTGTGGTTTATAAATTTTGATTCATGGCTTAGCCTGATGCATGAATCCTGCCCACTGTACTTTTTGTGGCAATGGAACACAGCCAGAGTTTTGGAATGAGCAACGTTCAGTTTGGAAGCTTTTTTGCCCAGTCTAGGTGGTATTAAGGAGCCAACAAACAAAGAAATTCTCCTTTTCAAATATTACTTCTTTTGTTTCAGGGCGCTCACCCCTCTGCCTAGATTCATCGCAGGGTCTCTAGCAGGGCTCACAGCTGCCATGTTGACGTATCCCCTGGACCTGGTCCGTGCCCGTATGGCAGTAACGCCGAAGGAAATGTAAGTAGTGAGGAAAGGACGTGAGGTGTATTCTTTTAACTATTATCGTTCCTGAAAACCTACATAGCGAAAGGTTGGAGCACAAACCTTCATCCAAATGAAGACTTGCTTTGATCACTTCCGAAGCCAAGAAAGTTTCGCCAGTTATGACCAAAAGAGATCGTTTCTTCCGCAAAGGCTTCCTTCCACTCCAAGACTGTAATTGGTTCAATAATTCAATCATCCATAAAATGGTTTGTTTGTTCACGGTTTACTTGGTTGAACCCTTCAAATATCTTAGGGATGCACTAATCACAATGACAAAAATATATATATATATATATATTGACAAGACTGTAGTGGAATGTAGTCTGGATTCCCGGGAGGGAGGGATAAGGGTGGTTTACCACATTCCCCCATTGCAGTCCTCTTGTACACACAAAAGATTCAGCCTACCCTAATAAAAACCAAGATGACAAACATGGCCAGCCGGCCAACACGTTTAAATTCCCCACCCTTAGGAGATTCCCTAAAATAGAGGCATATATCCTGCAACTGGGACAGCCATAAATCCTTAAGACTTTATCATCCGTCCCGTTGGCATATGCAGCAAAACAAAAAACAAAACAAAAAAAAACTCCTGGGACATTGTTTTACCAAGAGTATAACTTTACTGATCGATCCATATAGGCACAGTAGAAAGCAAAGCCAGCTCTGACTTTTAGTGAAAAAACTGCATAGATAAAATCCCCCTTTCCCCCCCTTGGCCACCCACTGTCCAGTGTGTCCACCAAGCCAGTGCCACCTCTTTGTTTTGGGAAACAGTCTGCTCGGCTGAAAAATCTCTCATCCTTCGACCTTGAATTGTCGAGATTGTCCTAGGCCACAGACGGTGCACATGGATTCCTTAATTCCTTCCCAGCCACCCCTACATTCCAACCATTCCTCCCCACCCCCTGGTTTCTGTTGTCTGTCTGTGAGCGAAAGTGCAGAGCGCGTCGGCCTTGACATTTTCCCTGCAAGCTTCTTTCTAACTTTTATCTGATGTTGTCAGGATTCTAGTCCATAAGGCAACCTTATTCCATTTTTCCTTGGCAGGTACAGCAACATCATTCATGTATTTATGCGGATATCTCACGAGGAAGGATTGAAGACCCTGTATAGGGGCTTCTCACCTACCATCTTGGGGGTGATCCCTTATGCTGGATTGAGCTTCTTCACTTATGAGACACTGAAGAAGCTGCACGCAGGTAAGGACCATCAAGCCAATATGAATATATGCAGGTAGCCCTCAACTTGTTTGTTTAGTGTCCATTCAAAATTAACAAGAGCACTAGAAAAAGAAATGACTTACAGCCGGCCCTTGCACTTATGACCATCACAGTATCCCCATAAACACATGATTAACTTTCAGGCGCAACTGGCATGTATTTACAGTGGTTGCAACATCCTGGAATCAAGGTGATACCATATGTGACCTTCCCAGCTGGCTTTCGACAAGCAAAGCAATGGGGGAAGCCAGATTTGCTTAACGACTGCGTGATTCACTTAACAATCGCAATGATTTTCTTAACAATCACGGCAGAAAAAGTGGTAAAATTGAACATGACTCACTATCTAGCCCCAGAAATTCTGCTTCCAATTGTCATAAATTGAGGATGGCCAAACTGACAAGCAACTGATTTTGGACCAAGCATGTCATTTAAAGCAAACTTATTAACTTAAAGGAATTCTTAATGTTAGATGTGATCCGACTACAGTAATTTTATATGGGATTAGACCAAATCCACAGAATTGGAATTCTGTGAAAGGGAATCAGAAGGAACCAATCAGGGTGAAACTTGTTGTTACCGTGTTTCCCCGACAATAAGACCCTGTCTTATTATTTTTGCCACCCAAAAAGGCACCAGGTCTTATTTTCGGGGGATGTCATCCACTGACTAACCTCACTGGCGCGCGTCGCCCACGGCCTCCTTTTCACTGTCAGAGGCCTTCAGGAACTTCTTCTTCTGCGGCCGGAAAGGCTTTCCTGAAGGCCTTTGCAGCTGATAAACAGAGCTCTGGATCGATCCATAGCTTTGTTATCAGTTACGGAGGCCTTCAGGAAAGCCTTGCCAGCAGCAGAATTCTGGGAGTTGAAGTCCACAAGTCTTAAAGTGGCCAAGGTTGGAGACCCCTGAGCTAGATGACTATAAAGGTAGGATAAATCAAAGAAATTTTGGAATAAAATAAGGATCTGGTTGCAAGAAATAACTGGTTTAAAAATAGAACTTAAGCCTGAAATGTTCTTGCTAGGGATAACCAGAGGTGAATATAAGGACATTGAATATATAATAATACAGCAGCTAGAATAACGTATGCCCAAAGTTGGAAATTAGAGAGCAGCCCCACAGATGATATGATTATAAAGAAAATTATGGATTGTGCAGAAATGAATAAACTTACAATGGAAATGCAGGAGAAGGAAGAAAAAGAATATTATATGGTCTGGGGGAAATGGTATGTTTGGTTAGATAACAGGAATAAAAGATAATGCAAAATGTAAATGTAAATGATGTATGTATGTGTGTATGTATGTATATGTATGTATGTAAATGAAAACGGAAAAGTCAATGCCACAACTTACTGCAAAAATTGTATATATGATTTGTTTTTTTTAAAGGTGAAAAAATTGAATAAAAAGTATCTTAAAAAAGAAAGGTGGGATACAAACAAACAAGTTCAGAATTTTGCAGCGTAAATTCAGCACCAGAAAAGTAAACACAGACGGCTAATAGCTTCATTTAACGTCTTTATAAACATATTAAGTAAATTTTACAATACCAGTTGTAGATTTCTCCAACAGGGAGCACTCTCAAACAGAAGCAGACATGTTACAGGTTCAGAGCAAAGCAGCAACTCAACTTCAGCAGGACAAGCAAGCTAGTTTCAATAGACAGACACAGAGCTTAATATAGAGCCACCCCTAGGCTACTTCTAGTTTCAATTTCCAAGCAGTCCTCATTGGCTGACTTAATTGCTATGCCTAGTCATTGGCTGATCTTGTTACCATGCTCTATTCCAGGGGTCTCCAACCTTGGCAACTTTAAGCCTGGTGGACTTCAACTCCCAGAATTCCCCAGCCAGCTTTGCTGGCTGGGGAATTCTGGGAGTTGAAGTCCACTAGGCTTAAAGTTGCCAAGGTTGGAGACCCCTGCTCTATTCTATTAATATAATCTGACAATACAAACATAAATAAATACAAGCATCCGTTTGTCGTCTTTCTAAGCATCTCCACCCTGCCTCCTTTTCTTCCTTTCTTTCTTCCTCTCTCCAGATCACAGCGGGAGGAGAGAACCCTACCCGTTGGAAAGGCTAGCGTTTGGGGCTTGTGCAGGCCTGATCGGGCAGTCGGCCTCTTACCCTCTGGACGTGGTCCGTCGGCGGATGCAGACCGCAGGGGCGCTGGGCTACTCCTACGGGTCCATCCTCCTCACCATGAGGGACATCATTCGGGAAGAGGGGCTCGTCCGAGGCTTGTACAAAGGGCTCAGCATGAACTGGGTCAAGGGTCCCATCGCCGTGGGGATCAGTTTCACCACCTTTGACCTCATGCAGATTCTCCTCCGTAAATGGGAGCGCAGGGTGAATGTGCAGAGGTAACGCCAAACTTGCCGCCCGTGTAAGGGCTCCTTGTGGAGAGTGAGCGACCACCACGGTGGCGCCAGTCGATGCTGACGAACGAGGATGGACAAATCCTTCTTTTTTTTTTCTTTTTTTTTTAAATCCCTATTCCCTGATCCCAGACGAGATTCTCACGATAGATCTGAATGACCTCGGAGAATTCGGTTTCAGGCGCACACAGATTCCTCTTTAACTGTGGCCTATCTCCTCTCCGGTTTCCAGATAATGAATGTGCAAAGAAAGAATAGTAGAAGTCAGTGCAGGATTTTCACTGTTTTTACGATGGGATCTACCCATTCCCTGAATTCTCCAAGTTAGGGGAGAAAAGGGGTCGCTTTCACTGCTAGCCTCGTAAGAGGAGGCAGCAGCGGATGTGGTTTTATCTGTGTCAAACGTTCCCTTCCCCCCATTCTTCCCATTCTCCTTTTATTTTTATTTTTTTTCCCCCACAACTCTCCTCACGTATCATTTACCTCTTGGAAGTGCAATGCCAGATTGGGGTGGGAATATTTTACCATAGAGTTGACTTAAAAAACAAAACAAAAAGGGACACTTCCTCTGGCATTTTTGGGGGGTGCTGGAAACCAGGAGGTCTTACATCGACAGTGGTTCGCCTTGTTGCTTTCCAGAGCAGCATTTAAATAAAGGATTTTGTGTTTTGCTTTGTCTTTCAAAGAAAAGAAAAGAAAAGAAAAAGCAGCAACAACAGCTGGTTACCAGATAGGTTTTTCCCTTTCCATTGGAGATGGTTCACTCTGGGGGGAAAACATTACCAGTGCACAGTGTTAACTGGAAGCTCTTGCTGTCTTGATATGCTATCCATTTTCATTTCTTCAGTATTATCCATGTTATTTCCTCAGTAGGGAAAGGAACTTGAAAGGATTATGGCTCTTTTTCTGGCTCTTTTTCTCTGAACCATCCGTGCTTCGTGTGTTTTTAAGAAATTTGCTTGCTTGAAATTGGAGGGAACACACCTGTTGGCAAAACCAGCAGCCTCATGTTGTAACCTCCTTCCTAAATAGTATAATTTCACTACTTATTTTTCCTTTTCCTCTCCTTTCCTTTGCTGTTGCTTGTCAGAGTGGAGAATACCATTGTGCCACGTTGGGCAAGCTTGCTGTGGCAGCTTATGTATTTCCTGCATTTAGGTGTCTTTTGGACAGTTTTTTGCTGCTTTTCGCTCTTTTTCTCTTGCCTGTTTTCTGCTTCATCCAACTTTAATGCCACTTCGGTTTGGGGTGGCGGGGATGGCAACAGATTACCCCGATGCGATTCTCAAGTCCTTCCCTTCTGGCTAAAGCCAGGGGTGGGGGAACTGTGGCCCTTTTATGACTTGTGGACTTCAACTCCCAGAATTCCT